ATTTTGTATGTGCTACCGGATACGCTCTTAGACTTTAATTTTCTTTTAATCTGGTATAACTTACTATACAAGTGTCCTTGTATTTCTGTTGGATTTTTTTTTAAAAATATTATCAAAAACAGTTATTACACACATAACTAAACAAGCTAAGTTAAGAGGCTTGCTTTTTTCTTCTTTTTTATATAAAATTTAAATTAAACGTGAACTATCTATTAAAGAAGTTATTGAGATAATTTTAATTCTAAATTAGGATTGTTGGCTTTGCATTTAGAACACGGGACATAGAATGACCTGATATACGAAATAATTCTTTATAAGTTGACATGTAAAGCGAGTATATCTAATTTTTGGAGTCCATTGCTCGTCTTACTGGTAAACCTAAAAATGTTTTCGCTGTAATAGAATCAATGTATACAATGCGTGGATGGAAATTATGCGGAGATTGGTAAAGTAGATTTCTCAAATACTAGGTACATTCAAGGGACTAACCAACGCTCCGTCAGTAGAGTTGTAATCCCGAACTGTGAGGACGTGTGTAGAAACTGGGAGAATATTTTTGAAACTAAACGATCGTAAAACATATGAGAACTTTGTGTGAATTTTATACAGAATCAAGTTTACTATCTACACCTTATTTTACAAATGTTGTGTGTGTTAAAGGAAAGCTGTTTCAGGTTGGTGGTTCTTTTTTAACTTTCTAACGTAAGAAAAGTAACATTGAATATGGAATAAACATGCACTTATTTGGTGAATTTCCTTTAGAATTTTGGTTTTACTTAAATAAGTTTTCAATTTGTTTTTAATTATATATTATTTTATAAAAAAAAAACTAAATATAGATACTAATATAGCTTTTATTAAAAAGTAACCAAAGAAATATTAGACATCTAATTATTATAATTAATTTACATAGTTTCCAGTAGATTGTTATGTTATTAAAACAGTAATTAAACTTTTTTAACAAAGTTTGACATAATTACAACAATCACGATGTAAAAACCAGATAACTTTAACAAAATTTGAGAATATTTGAAGATTAGGAGTTGAACTCTATTATACCTAGGATGCAACAAATATTAGAAAGTAATTTTTACATAAAATATTCATAACTATACTGTTATTAGTGTTCTTAAAATAAATTGAATAAAATAACTAAATATATCGATAAATAGACGTCGATACATAATAAAATGGACATGCATCTCAAAATATTGTAAACATGTCCGTTAGAATTGTTTGTGCAAAAGACACTTTATTAAATTTAATCCGTCGGAATAAACTGTTAGTTTACCAATAAAAAATATTGCCGGATTTCCCTGACATATAAAATGAGTTCGCATCCCGTCAACATCCGTCAACTTCACTGACGCTGACAGTAATGAAACACTGAAACCATGCAAAAAACTTGCATTTAATGCAGATTTTCTCTATAAAAGCAAATGTAGCAAAACACAGACAACAATATTGCTGTGTATGGGAACAGAGATATGAAGTTTTGTGACAAAATATTTGCTTTGTGTGGCTACTCAATTCATCCTTCCTACATTCTCGAAACGTCGACGTACTGAAATGTATTTTCAATGTTATGTTAGTATATCAAATTAATTGATTTTTAATACATTGCCTGCTAACTAATAAAAGCGGAACTATTACAGCACCTAGTAATTTATATTCATATACGGTTTTATCTTTTTAATAAAGAAAATTAATAAGCTTAATGAAAAAATAACTATACTACAAGCAAGCTTTAAAAATGAAGTAGTATCATTTATTGATGTAGGATTATTTAGGTCAATCCTATGTCATTTAATCTTACTCTAATTCCGAAATCATTAATGCGAGGTCATCAGAAATCGATGCGGTCGCTAGCCGAGTGGCCGTATTCGGATTTTCAGTTAATCTTTACCGCAATTATATCTTCATTGTTATAAACAAACTACCTTTCGCCCGAGACACCGTGCATGTGGAATTAAAAATAAACAAAGTGGCAGTCTATGTGTTCTTAGAGACTAGCCTCTACATCTATATACCAAATTTCATCGAAATCAATTTAACTTCTCTGACAAACATCCATCGATCTAAACTTTCTCATTTAAAATTACTAATATAAGAACATACTTACTCGGTTAACTTAATAATAATAATAAACTTTATTTCAAGCTACACTTTTTTTTGCTCATAGTTTGTTAGTAATAGAAAAAACTTAATACCTATGTTATTCACACATACATCCAAATGTTATTCTAAACTGTACAATTATCGCTTGTCACGTGCAGCTTTATGTAAATTAATGAATTGTATTGTAATATAATAAAATTTAAAAGATTCTCGAACTAACTTAAGAAATAATTTTCATGACAGCCCTTGTTTTAAGGTTACAGGATATATCCATTTACTAATATTATAAATACGAAAGTTTAGATGGATATTTATCACAGTTTGCAAACTATATGGCTAAATGTATCTCAATAAAAATTTACATAGAATGAAAACACAGCCTAATAAAAGACATGGCTACTTTTTCTTTCATTTCCACGCGGAGTAAGTCGCGGGCGAAATCTAGTGTAATATAAACTTAATCGGGATATTTGACCTTACGATGGATGCCAACTGGCTTAGATAGCTAGTTAATAATTATTTCACTTATTAAAATATGAATTTTATTTATAACATAAATCTTTGTTTCAGGATATCTTACGGTAGTGATCATTTGAAAAAATGAACTTCACGACCTTTTATTTACTTTTATGCATAATTTTCGCAGGTCAGTTCTTTTAATTTGATTTCAAATTAAATATATTGTTTAAATTAAATTGTGGTTGTAAAATTTGTATAACGTTATAGGTAGAGGAGATGAAAGGTGGAAAAAACGAACTAGAGAAAATTCATATATTGGGACATTAGACGAATCAGGTGAGAATTGAAGACAATATAAGTAGAATAAGTATTTTCTTAAGAATAAAGTTCTTAAATCATCAAGTAATGAAGATTATCACTAATGAAATCAAAGCCGTACAATATACCCCTTTATATGAACAGATATTAGATAGATATCTATCTATCTATTTATGTATCTGGATAGATTTTTGTAAACGTTGATCATTTTTCAGAGATGGAGCGAGACTTGTGGCCGTATGAAGACAACTTTGACGTAGAAACGGAAAATAAGTTCTATAGCAACGTGAACTATAAATTACCAAAACATAAGAAGCATTTAAAAAGATTGTATAGAACTAAACAAAAAGAAATCGATAACAAATTAATTTTAGATAACTTTTTCAATAATTCTGTGTACATAAGTAACCGTAATAACTTATCAAAAGTGTCAATAGATTTCAAACATAGAGTAAAAGATAGTACAAATGAAAATGCTGTACCTAAATGGCCTAAATTTGAAGATCTTTTGCTATCAGTTGGTGTCGAGTATGATTTTAAAAGTGACAGGTGGATAAAGTTAAAAAAGAAACTAAAAATATACGATGAAACTATAAATCATTTAAATAATGAAATAACTCATCAGAAACATGAATTTAAATATAGAACTATTAGAATTAATGGTAGTAAAAAAAGAAAAAATATCATAATAGCTCTTACAGCGATAAGATAGAATGAAATAGTCGTTAAGTCAAACCATTGGCTTTCATTGTGGAGACACAATTATAAGATTATATTGCTATCTCAATTTTTTTCAAAGTAAACGAGGGCGATGCCAATATGTTTTATAAAAGTATTTGAACAGTGGAAGCCGATGGTATTTATAGATAATGGTTTATGATTTAAATGTATAGCTTCACGTAGATTGAAAATTGGTGTAATTAAACTATATCATAGTTTTGGGACCAAATTCAATTAAATTGAATGTGGAAAAACTTTTACCAAGAAATTACGCAATTTATTGATTTGATTTTAAAGCTTCAATATCAATTTATTGCGATAATTTGGTTACGGTTAAAATAAAGTAAAACAGCTCTTGACAGGTATCAGAACAAATTAAGATGTGAACAAAGAAATGTTTCCATAATTGACATCTGTTTTCTATTTAATAATTCTCATTTCTTTTCTCAAAACTTGTTCACTTTATTGTACTAATTAATTATGAAGCCTTTAAGATTAAACGTGGAAAAAAAATAAAAGGGATTTATAAGAAATCAAGGAGATCAGTTGGAGTGTTCTTAGAAATAAGACTTAAGTTTTTTTTATTTACTTAAATTAAAATAAATTCAAGCGAACTCTAGGAATAATTTTGTAATTAAGAACGTTTTTATTTTTATTCTTATATCACATTTTTGAGTTATTTGCAATATGATGAATTGAGTAAGGGACTTTGAATTGTTAATTGAACACGTACTCAAGAAAATATCAAGTATCTGGTATGTAAATAAATTTATCTAAGCAATATGTGCTATTTAATTTCAAATAAAAATTTTATTTTCAGCTTTAAATTTAATTGCAAAGTTTGAACATAGTTTTTACTATCAGTGTGATATTTTATGTAAGACTGTATTTGACTATTCACTTAGTCGGGCCATTTTGTGATTTAAAACTAGCTGTAGTACAAATGGATCGACTCGTCTACGAAAAGGATACCACTCGCTCTCACGGGATAAAATAGTAGCGAATAGCTTTTACTGCGAAGGCACTTCTTAATTTACTAAAAGGATCCTTTTTCGAAGTGACTAATGGCCATGTCTTTTTATATTTCGATCTACCTATGTTAATAAATAGTAAAAACCCTATTACTTAACATAATCATACTACTATTATAAATGCGAAAGTTTAGATGGATGGATGGATGTTTGTTAAAGTTCGTAGGATAAACGGCTGAACGTATTTTGATGAAATTTGGTATAGATGTAGAGGATAGTCTGGTAGAATACATAGGCTACTTTTGTTTGTTTTTTTTAATCCACGCAGACGGAGTCGCGGGAGAAAGCTAGTTTATTAATAAATGTCTTTTAATGCATAGCCAACTATAGTTCATACATGTCATAATATAGCCATCGAGATGTTTAAACAAATCAAATATTCAGTTAAAACTCAATAACAATTTACAAAGATAAAATAATAAAAAGGATATGGGAAAGTTAGGTACATTCGAAAAACCTATTTGTAATGCAGTGACAGTATATCGAGAAAGAGGGTAAGTACATTAATGGAAAGTTTGAAGGTAAAAAATGTTCGGCTGTCAATTTGAAAAACATTAATCATCGAAATAAGTTGTTGCTTATATAAAGAAAACTCAAGAATGATTTTCAGAAGCTGTTAATGTAGAAATGTTTTAACTTTGGTAAAAGAAAATAAGCAAAATTACCCATTTTATTTTTTTTAGCGATTTTTTCATATTTCTTGCACCAAAATGCAATTTAGAAGCCTTTAAAAATTATGATTTATTTAATTCTGCGCTTAATTTAACATTACCTTTATGATAATAAGATTAAAAATTACATTCAACAGAAATTACCTTCAACGTTTGGAGCAATTCGAAAAAGCAATTTTTGCATACAACGAAGCTCTACGTTGGGATGTAAGTCGGTATAAATTGTTTTTTTCATATTTCTGATTCACTTAGTCGCAGCTAACAAAAGTAAAATACATTTTCAGTGAATGATATTAGTGTATATTTATAAAAACTGTAGTTAAAAGTTTAAATGTAATGTAATCTTACACCCAATAAATTTGTCCTTTTTAACAAGTTCTTAGGCTACATCTTTAGGTTTTGTCAATAACCTACGACAGTAAAAATAATAAAACAGAAAAAAATAGAAATTTATCTTATAGAACACAGATGTCCCATCGCTACTCGGTAGAAGCTTGGCTCGGGCAAAATCTACCCACTATGCTGGGGCACTGACAGACGTGGCGCGTGCGGCTGGTATACTTTAAAAATTTTCACAAGCTATAAACCATAATAAGCTCCACGTTTGATTATTGCCATTTTTTTTGCTTTGAACTTTAAAGTAAAACCACTGAAGTCTCATTATAAGATTTTAACCAAATTCTTACATTAACTGTGATTTCCTAACGAAAAGACGCTCAGTGTTCGTCTTTTGTTTTTCTTAGAACTCGAGCCAAATAACTTGACGGCGCTACAGATTAAAGCGAAAACGGAATACGAAAAATGTGCGTTCGAACGTTCTCTTGTTCTTGCAAGCTGCGGACAGAAGCTGAGGGTTCTGCCGCCGAACTTCGCGGATTGCGCCAGATGTGCCGAAGAAACGGTACAAAATTAATTTAATAACAGCAATTAAAGCTAAATTAATATTCTTATATGTCCTCTAAAGCTTGTTAGTAATATAAATGTTATTGTTATCTCATTTATGTTAACTTAGAACATAGTAAATATTTAATGGTTAAAATCAATGAAATATCTACAGATTCGAGAATGTTCTGGACTAAGCGCAACAAAAGTGATGAAATCTGCAAACATCCTACTCAAAGATGTTGAAATAATAGATCACATGGAGAAAGATATTTATGAACCAACAGTAATTGTACGACGTAGTAGAATGCAGAAAGAACCGACTCAACAAGTATCACTATACATTTTATTATTGAGTTGTATTCATTGCATCTTATGTTTTAATTACAAAATCTTTGAAGAAAATGTACATACATACAAGCAATAGAATTGTGTGCTATAACGATGTTTACAATTGTCGCTAAAGGGCTACAAAATCGAAATGTCCTGACATTTTCGTAGAATACAAACCGATCGATGGTACAAATTGTTTGCGAGCTACTCCCGTAACTCTAGTCTACAACATACAAGCATGTCAACATATCTAAATTTAAATAGATATAATTTGTGTTTCCTAGTTAACATAACCATTCTAAATAAATCCTTCATCGTGACAGTTTCTTTATAAACCGGAAATTGTTGATCCCATTTATATTTTCTAGATACAAGAGATATCGCGGGTAGAAAAACAAAAGACGGAGCATATTTCACGGTTAATGGCATCGAAGTATTTAGAACAAATGGCCCACGACAAACACTTCCTTATTTCCTTGTGTAAAGATGAAAGATTAATGTCAGCAAACAAACAAGGCTCGAAGATACTTTACGAATTGGCTAATAAAGCACGTGCTGATGTTGAAAAACGACAAGTATATAAAAATCTAACAATTAGACCTATATTTAACAAAGTTTCATTATCATTTGACGCGAATCGAGGACAGTTATCGAAAAATTTATCATTTTTCTATGGACCATGATATCCTATCTGTTGCGGATTATTACGGTCCGGCGCAAAAAGTTCTTAAAGCGATAATTTAAAGGCCTTAGAGACGAGTTATTATCTTTATAAATACACAGAAGCACAATGTTATTTATAAGGTTACAGTAAAAAAATGTTGGAACATTTTGTTCTATTTCTTTTACCTTATTATTGCTGAATCTGTAGGTCATAATTTCTTGGGAAGTTTGCTAGATACCTTTTTGAATAACACAAACAGCATTGTTTTAGCTTTATTAAAGTTAAGTAAATAACAATAAAATTGTGAGATAAAAAAAATCACACTCAAAACCCATAATTTATTTTACACGGTCAGAATAATTTCTATGATCAAATAATGCAGGCGGTACTTCGCGAACGTCGTCCACTATACGCAGCAAGGTCGGCGGAATCAGAGGCTCGGGCGCGTCTGTCCCGAGCACGTAAGGAAAGACTCGGACACGCTCAAAAACAACACGAAGTTGATGCCAAACGCCTCATACGAACTGCTAAGACAATATTCGAAGAACACGATACGACGAAATGCTTAGAAGCAGCCGAATTCGCAATGGAACAAATATCTAGGAAGCCGGCTAACTTGCTACCTGATAAAGAAAAGTTTTTACTAGAATTGTACAACTTGGTCGCTAATGTATTCTTGGATCAGGTGTTTCTCAACTTATTATTTGTGTGAAAATTCTTTATTTGCAAATGGTTAAAATAATACCTTCATTATTCTAAAGATTGATAATTATTTAGCAATAGCTTGTTATAAAACAACCACATTAAACATTGTAGAAACGTTTTAAACAAACCATGAGTGAAGAAGAACGTGAGAAGAGATCGTTTGTGTTACTAGGAATTTCAGTGTCACGGGAACCGAGCCGTGACTCCATCCTACGCTCGAGGCCAATGGCGCCGCCGCGGGATGTGAGGTGAATATTATGAATAGGTCTTATATTACGATAGCGCGTATTCAAACTGTATACAATTTATTGAAAATAAATTCTATGTCTTTCAATGTTGGTCTACGAGATTTGCTAAATAAAATATGTTATTCAACCCTTTTTGCTATTATCTATCAAATTACAATAATCTTAGTGATCGATCTTATAAATTAGTTCTATTTGTTGCTGTTAATTTCGATTCTTCGCAGACGTCGTTTTAGAACTTTAGAACGCATATTATCTCTTAACGGACGAGCACCGGAAAGATGCTACGCTCTACATGAACTGGCTCGTCTTCACGTTGATACGAAGCAGGCGTATAAAGCAAGATTTTACGCTCATAAAGGCCAAACGGGTGAACATTTCAATTAAGTTTTTACTGTTAAACGAGAAACACAAAATTTTAAACTATACAGATTCCTGGAATTTTCATTAGTCAGGTTTAAATTTATTTCACATGAATGTATCGTTTGTGAGTTATAATTTGCATACAGAATGAAATATCAGGTTATTCAATGACGTTAAAGTTGAACACTAATATGGAGCATTTATAGTAGTATTAGTTACTAAAGCTATACGTTTCATCAGTACTTAGACAAGACTTTTGTATGACTGGACAATACGATGCGCAAACTACTGCAAGAATATTTTAGTGATCATTTTCGACACTCTATTACGGACGAAAAGTTCACGGGGTTCGATCATTACTTTGTTATTATGTTTTAGTTTCCCTTTATCTTAAACAAAAACATTTCGTGTAGAGGCACGGTCCGCGGATCAACGTATCTGGTTGCTGAACATAACGTTCCTGTTGGCGCGATGTCATTTGCTGCAGAACAACCGGCCGGAAGCGCGGGCTGCGCTTATTGAAGGCACCGGCCTTGCCCGCTCTTACGGCTTCGTGGACGTTTCGAATTTCTTTGATACGGTCAACAAACTACTTAATATCTTACTTACAATGTAACAAATTATTATCTCTTTGCCCACTTTTAACTACACCTACACCGTTAAAGTAAAGAAATTATGTAATGATTTTTTTTTTTGATATATTTACTTACAAGATTAGAAAGATCCACTACTTATATTTTTCTATATTATGATGATTTTAAATTTGTAAAAACTCGAGTGAATGAAAGAAGAAGAATATAAAATACTTTTAATAATCGAATCCTTCTGTGTTATAGTGTGTCAATGTATCGGGAGAAGGCGAAGTAGGATCAAGTGAGGCGTTATTAGAGAAGAGAGAGAAGGAAATGGTTGATTTAATGCAAGATGATGACTTGCGTTCTGCTGCAAAATATCTGTTTAAACGAATGTCCGTTATACCGGCTTCCAGGTGATTTGTTACTTTTTAAATTTTACAATTAAATATAGATATTCAAAATACTTTAACTAAAGTAATAATATTCAACTACATATTAAGAGTATGAATGCTCCAAATAGACTATATTGAACATAATATGTCTGCAAAAAGATAATCTCTATTCGCAAAAACTGCTGCGTTTAATTTAGATGTAAAATTCGAAAACATTTTGTAAACAAAACTGTGGTTACAGACGTTTCTCAGTACTTCCCGGGACGCATATGGATGAAAACGCAACAACGATCGGTCGCCGAGTGTCAATCGTACCGAAAACTCAGCAGCCTACTAGGATTGTACGGAAACTACAACATCCACTGGGATTTCAAGAATTCGATTTTTAAGACACTTTATAAATTTTTAAATCGATAACATTATTTCAATAACTTGTGATACTTTTTATTAAATAAAAATATTTGAATTATTTTTTTATTATTTCGATTTTCAGTATTCCAAAGCTTTCACGCAGTTACACATAATTGCGTAATAATACACGTGTTTTAATCTTTCAAAAGATTTAATAATGCATAGGAGCCAAACATGTAAACATTCATTTATATTTATAAGATTAAAAAGCAAGTCTTTAAGCTCGGGAGACCGAGATAACAACCGCAATCCCTTTTTTACCCAATTTATTTGGTCCCAAAAGAAACACCGAGCGAGTTCATTTCTACACTTTCTGTTTTAAAATAAACCGATACAACTTTTATTAGATTGTGAAAAAGCTATGAATGAGAGTTAATCATCACAAAACTTTTTTTTATTTATTTTATTTACTACTTTAGTAATTAAGTAAATAAAAAAGTAAAAAAAAAATAGTTTTTAATGATTAAAGTTTCCAACCCTTTTATTTGTTGTGTAAAAGGTTGTATAAAGCTTTGTAGTTCTTTTGTATAAAGGTACTGTTAACTGTCGGGTAGAATGTTATTCTTCTGAAGCATCACTAGTATTCGAAAAAGCAATTCCATGAATGCGCAATCCATTTTATAGTCTCGTAAAAACGTTCAGTTTCAAAGATCTGTTTGCACTCACTTCTTTTTAATTGCTGTTACTATAAAAGGTATGCGGATATTATTTGTCAAAGTTATTTAGTAACAATTCTGTACAAAATAAATAAAAATCACCTTTCACCGATATAAAGAACCTGGATTTTTATCTGTCATTTTAAAAATCTTTCCATTGTCATAGAGGTGGGTACTAATCGACGTTACAAGGTATAATGTAACATTCGCAACGAAGGGATTGTTGCTCGCTGGTTTCCCCACAATACAACGTAAATACTTTACAAGTTTTGTTACACATTACAATATCTAGTAACGTTAATCCGTACCCACCTTAAAGCAAAATGCTTTCATTTCTATATTAGATGCTGTAAATATTATCAACAAACAAATCATATCTCCGTTTACATCCAACAAAATACCTATAAAATTTAAAACATCTCACGTACCTTGAATTCGTCTGGGATCAATAAATGTGTGAGTAAGGGAAGAATACAAATAACGAGCAATCTCACCCTGCTTTTATTGCGACAGCCAATAGCAAAGTTTTGATGGTAATAAATTCGATTCACGACACCGAAGCTATTAAAACGAAGCAGAAAGTAGCAGTTTTCAAATTTACTTTTAAGTGTCTGATTTAAGAGATGACAAATGTCGTTAAATTTATAGCAAGGTATACGGTGACGATATTTTTAGGTTGTAGATCTAATAGCGAATCAAAAACTAATAATCCTAAATATTAAAAAAAAAAAACAAATAACTTGAATTCTAAAGCTGTTAACCTCTTATAGAACAAATTTAATAATAAAATAAAAATTAGTTTATAATGAATTTTGTAAGTGTATATAATATGCCGGTCTATGTCAGCTACCCTTCAGTGAGAGTCCGGCTAAAATCGGCCCAGCCGTTTCGGGTATTACGCGGAACAAACGCAGTCTAGCGGAGAGACAGACAGACAAAAAATAAATAAATGCCATTTTCGTTATCAGTAACGCAAGTACATCATCTTCCCGAGGTTTGGAATTTTTCTATTGATGTTACAAACAAACACTCAAATTCTTTTTCAAAATACGTAATGCACAGTTTTTATACTTTTTACGCTACACTTTATTACAAAAGTTTTATGTTATTATTAGATAAGAAACTTAAAAAACTTACATTTATCCTTTCTCGTTGTCACAAGATCAATGTAAACATTTCACGAAATCCTTTTAGGGAATAAGAAAATGAAGGTATATAAAAACACAAAGGAACATTCCATCAGGGAATTGTTTTCGATTTCCTTAAAATTACACGGGAAACAAGAGATTAGAAAAAGTTTTCCATTTATAACTTGATTTGAATATAAATAATATTGTAATGTACCGCTGGTCTACGTAAACACCTTAATTTTAAACTATACTGTACACAACTATACTGCACAATAATTATAATGATTTGCAAAACAACCATCAGTCAAAGAAGTGTTACCACTACTTGTTAGATATACCGGATATGTCACATGGACTTGTATAATAAAAGTCAATACAATAACTGTATCCATTGGATTTTTCTGCAATACCCACAGATTTTAATACACCGGAAATGAGGGATATAAGTAACGAGGTTGATTTTATTTCACATTTTGTAAACAAATGAAGACAGTTTCAAACGACAAACTATAGTGATATCAGTGTTTACTTGAGATTCAGTATTATTGGTAAGAATGGGATTATACGCTAAAAATTATAGTGAAATCATTATGTAATATTTAATGGATTTTTAAAGATTTGTGTATTCTAAAACAATTGAAGAGTGGTAATTTAGTTTTGGACATCTCAATAACAATAGATTTCAAAGTCGTCTTCTACATAAAATGTCGAAAAAAACGCCGTGATTATAAATATATGCTCTTATAAAACATTTGCATTAACTAACATTATATTACAGGTATTTTATTAACAATTTTAAAAATAATATAAAAAATCCCATTTATTCTTACGTTTATTTTAAGTTCATCGCTTTTTAAATATTACGTAACGGGCGAGGCAAACGCTTATGCCGATTTATGAACCTTGAAAAAGTGCTAACATAAATTGTTTGTACAATTACAAGGATGGCTGGAACGGCTTTCACGGGATTTATATTATTTACTTTTCTACGAAAACAAAACCATTAGAATAAATTAAGCTTAGAAATGCGTATGTCTATATACTGATGACTTGTTTACAAAGCTTTACCCAGAAAGTTCTATATTAATATTATGAGTTAGTGAAATTCGTATTACAAATTATTCAGAGAATATGATTTTAGTTTGACATCAAACACTGCGACAGATTAAATTAGAATTTATTACGTATTGTAACCCAAAGCCATATTATTTGTCGTTCAGATATATCATAAAAGAATAAAGAATAATGTAGGAATATTATTTATAATTTTAATTACATTATGTTAAATATTGTAACATTGTATAACAACCGAAAGAGTTACAAAACATTTTTATTTTTTTACAAATTTGCTTCTGTAATGGTGAAAAATGCATTTTTGTGTTTTTAAACAATTGTTTCGTACTCCTGTAGATAAAAAATAAATCTAATTCGTAAAATGGATAACTGCTCTGCCTCGGGCCCGTCAATTTCTCAAATACATTACCGTACATATATCAAAAACCTTTAACCTTCAGCTCCTGTAATTTACTGTAATAAATAACGTTATTCACAAGCTTTGACGTATTGCGGAGGTGTTGGTCGAACTTTGAAACGTTTTTTTTACGTGTTGTTAAGAAATGTAGTATGTGTGTTAATAATCGTCTTATTTACTTCGATCTATTGTTCTTAATGTTAAGAAGAAATCAGCGCAACACTAGATCATCGGTATATACATCCATCCCTATGACAGCTGTCAATGTCAACCTGAAGTAATGAAAATAAGCGCGTCGTTCTAACGGGATCAGTAGTTTCAAAACACTCGACACTGGCCTAATCCGCTAAGGGAGTGCCATAGACAAGAAACTGAACTGAACTCAGTAGTTTGAGTGTTAAAGTTAATTACGCTACAATTACATTAATGTCTAAAAATTACTTCCAACTTGGTTGGAAAGCGTTAAAATTTGACTTACGTAACAACTTTAGTCCGACAACCCAGACTTACCTTTTTTATCTATGACGAAATACAAACAAGGGTCTCTTAAAGTTAAGTGCGCAAATTTCCTTTGGGAAATAAGACTATTTCTTGTTTATTCATATCCAAATGTCTGAGTTTTTTTTTTTTCTGAAGCAGTCTTTATTTTAAAGAAATTTACCACCATTTGACCTTTTTACGATAGGGTTTTAGTAGTTTTTAGGAATAAAAATTCACTACACATATTGAACTTATTCCTAAAACTGATTTGAATATAAGTTTCTGTGTAAACTATAGACTAACGTGTACTATACACGAAGTAGCTGAAGCACTAGAGATTGTTATTTTAGTTGATAATAAAGTTATACTTGCAAGTTCTTGCGTGCTCTGAGTAGAAGTTGTTGTTCAATATGTTTGGTTAAACCCGAAACTATTAATATTAGGAGCTAAAGTGCAAGATAAAAATACAGTAAAAACAACGACATTAGTTCTTTAGTTACGAGTGATTGGTAATATAAAATTTAAGTAACTAAATTCTAGTAAAAATATAAATTGATCTACATTTCGCCAAACTTTTCAAGTCGAACAAATTAGTACTTTTATAATATATTATGTAAAACTTTAGCATTTTCTTCAAATGATAATATTAAAATGTTTTCTTTGCTATTGAATAATTAATTAAATTCGGTTTATTTCCAATTTGGTGTACCGTTATACAAACCTTAACACAATCTATCTTTTATAAGTATCATTCATTAAACATGTAATCAACCGTTTTAATTAATTTTGGCCTCAATGGCGTATTATGACGTGATTTTAACACAGTAAAATAAAAGTCGTAGCTACCTTTTACGTTTTTAAATGAACGTTATATAAATAAGACGGAAATGAGATGCGCTGTAATTAACAAACAAGAAAGAGTATGAAAAATTCAGTTTTAAAATATCGACAATTAAGTACAATGAAAAAGCTACTCAAAAAATTAAAAAAAACTAAGAGAAATAAACTAAAATATCATCATCAGCAATAAGTCCCCACTAAAAGCCTTCCCTAAGTTAGGCCCTTAGTTAACCACGTTAGCCCACTGCGGGTTAATTAACTAAAATATGTCGAATGGACATTACTCAAACACTCTCTAATCACAATTCATAGTATTTTACAAGTCATTTTGTTGACAAGTTGATTATAGTAACGTCTTACGCTTTTTCTAAGTCATACAAAACATCTCGTATTGGATATTGATGCATTCCCACGCCGGCTGTTGCGGATAAATTGAAATGTCAATCATTATACCCTCGTAGGAATCGACAGAAAAATACGTAT